CTTGAACATCCATGACCATTAAGAGTGCACAATTGCACACACATGCATGCATGACCCAACACACACACAGATTAATGATAGCACAGTCATCTTTGCCTGCTTTGACTCACAAATACCTCTATTAAAAAAAGACCTCTCAGTCTGGATGAAGAGTGTCGAGAATGGTTTTAAAAAATTACTTTAATCAAATGGTATCCTGAAATTGAATGAATTCCAACGAGTCCCAAATGGAAAAAAAAAAAAACCCTGGTTGTTCATCAGCACATTGAATGAAACTCAGTGCAGTCTCTCATTCGGCATTTCTTTCATCTGTCTTTCTGAAAGAGTGACGCACGTCCCTTGTGTTTACACTTTACATTCTAAGACAAACTGGCATCTACTACAAAAGCTGCTGTAAGAAGCCGAAGCCTTTGTGATTTTAAATATACTTCCTTTTTGGCTTTTCTGGGGGGGCTTTTAGTGAAAGTAGTTGCAGAGATGCAGACAGGAAGAAAGAAAGGATACAGTAGGACATGAAACAGAGCATCTCCAGCTGGAATTAAACCTTGGACTTCGCAGTTATGGGGCATAACCGTTCAGCTACCCTGTGGTTTTAACAAAGTTAAATATTACTACAGAAAAAACCTGTAGCTCCCGTTACAACGACAACATGTGTGGCAGCATGGGTGTTTACACCTTGGTAACTTGTGTTCATTTGTCTCCATAACTAACCAATGCTCTCCTCTGAAGTCATTCTTCTAGGTTTCTACTTGCAATCTGTAATTACCATCCACTCTCCTTTGTCCTGCTGTCAAGCCACGGTATTTAGCCTCCAAAAGTCCACTGCCTATGGGAAATGGCAATTTTATCAATTAAAAATTAATTGCAGCACAATATTCATAATAAAGTGTGCAAAAAGTGAAAAGGTCTGACTACTTTCTGAAGCCACTGTACAAAATGAAGAGTCACACCTGAAACATGTAGCTTTAGCCTCCGTCTTGTAACATGATTAAACGTGTTAGTTATAGCTGCATCTGATAACCGGTACTAGAGACAGTTGTCATTTCATATGGCAAAATAGATGGTTGTTGGCTCAAAATGAAAAGTTTACTTTTGTTTATATCTGTCTTAAATATAGAAACCACTACTTAAAAAATGCTAAACATTTCATCTGCTCCTATCATTACTGTAAAATAATTACATGCTGTATAAAAATGTAACAGGAGCTTGACAGGTGAAGCAACAGTAATTGAGGGGTGGGATAATTGTCATTTGTGGATAAGGTATAGTAAATGACTTAAGTTAATCAGCCCATTTGGACCTTCAGACCTTTATTTTGTGCAGCAATGTGAGAACATCACATTGAATCCTGCTTTGACACTGGATGTTCTAGGTATTTTACACTCTTTAAATAAATGACCAGCACTGTAATTATTCTGTGCAGACTTGTGAAATGGCTTAGTGTTACTTTATTGAGAAGATGAAAAAAATGATCCAAAGATTAAATGTATTATTGCCATTCAGCAATGTGCTGTCACAGTCAGTTTTTTTAAAATGGGAGAACAATAAGCTGAACTCAGAGATAATATAATGAAACTTGTTCCTATTTTCTTCTGTCTGTGTGTATTTATACATATGTGTGTTGTGAGCATGATGCACAAGCAGCAAAGACATTTAAAAACACAATAAATAAGATAAGCCATTATTACAAAAGGAGACAACTGTGCTTCCATTCCTCCACTCTGCATTTTGTCCCAGGCTGCCAGAGGCACACTGCTAACCTTTTTAATGATGTTAGCTGAAGCTATTAACGATGCCATCACTGAGCAATGGCTGGATTTTTTCCTTAAGAAAATGGTGGTGAAGGGTAGCAGGACTGGGGGTGTCGGGTCATCATAATCTAGTATCTCCAACGAATCTGTGTGCTATGCTGAGCCCCCCAGCAGACTTGCACAGCAACACCAGAGGAGAGTGATGAGGGAGCTTATTTACTATAGGTGTACACACAAAGCAAAAACAAGAGCTACAAGTGACTATGTCAAGGGCTGTGGAGGAAAACATGAAGATGGCAGCAGCCCACTCTTAATGAGTCATAAATCAGCTTGATGTGAATCATCTCCACAGTGCTATTAGAGCAAAGTATTTTGAACCTCATTAATTTTCATTAGGGCGCAGCAATCGGGAAAGTATACTATAGTGGACGCCCCTACACCTTCCTGGATTACTGACATCCTGACAGAAAGACCACAGTGTGTGCCTCTGCGAGGGTGAGCATCTGAACAAGTGGTCAGCAGCACAGGAGCACTGCAGGGGGGCAGGCCTCTCACCCTGTTCACCTCAGACTTTCAGTACGAATCCCAAGTCCTGTTGCTTATGCAGAAGTGTTCAGATGACTCTGCATTTGTGTGTTGTGTCAGTGGTGGAGAGTACAGAGGTCTGGTGGATTGCTTTATGGTGTGGTGTGGGATCAAGCATCTGCTTTTGAATGTGGCCAAGACCAAAGATTGAGATGGTGCAGAGCTACAGATCCCTTAGGAGTCCACCTCGACAGCAGGCTGGAAATGTAACACAGAGGCTGTCTACAGGAAGGGACAGAGCAGACTTTCTGGTGGATCTCAGGTCCTTTAATATGTGCAGCAAAGCATTGCAAATCTTTACCAGTTGTGGCCGGTGGATTTTTGATTTTTTTTTTTTTGCTGCGATCTGCTGGGGCAGCAGCATCAGAGTCGGTGACTCCAGCAAACTGAACAAAATGATCAGGAAGCCTGGCTCTGTGCTCGGGACTCTGGAGCTGGTTGTGGAGAGGAGGATGCTGCACAGACTATTGAACATCATGGAGAACACCTCATATCCCTCCACAACCTACTGGTCAAACAGCAAAGCACTTTCAGCCAGAGACTTCTGCAGCTCTGCTGTGACCAAAAGCACTACAGGAAGTCTTTCCTGCCGACTGCCATCACCCTGAACACTGACTCTCCTCTGTGTCGGGAGACTGAGCTCCCCCTCTGACAGCATGCATATTACAGTATACAATACACGCTGTATGTTCATGTACATTTCTTATTATTATGGAAAAATGCAACTTAATGTACAGTTTCTCCAAATGATGATTATTATTATAATCCATATCTCATTTTCTTCAATATCTTGATAATCTTGGGTTAACTTTCACCTATCCCTTAGCCTCTATGTGCCTAAACACCATTACTTCCAAGTTTGGGGTCAATCCCTTTAATAAGAGGAGGCACATACACAGACATTTTCAAATAAGGGGAACACTCCTCTTAGTCCACATCCTCCTCCCAATGCTGGCATTGCAAGATCACATAAATATACTCCAAATTGAAAAAAACTATTACTGCAGCATTTAATAAACTAAATGGTAGCTTTCTATAGCAACAATTTCAACTTCAGCAGAAGTTGCAGAGGTAGCTTTTATATTTACCAACCACAGATAAATCATTTAAAAAGCGGCTATTAGTCAAAATCATTCAGCTGCTTCCTTTAGCTGCCTCTCTCAGCTCTTTCTCTATCTACCCTCTGTGGAGGACACTGTCATAGCAAGCAATATACAATATTCAGCATGGAGCATCGTTTACAAAGCCACATTAAGTTTAACTAACCACATTTAACAAGTGGCTTCAGGAAACTTCACAACATGTAATGAAATGTGATGAGATCAGTACAAAACAGCTTCTGCACATTGTTAGAAATTAATAAATCAGTCAGATAATTATTAGACATTAATGTGTTAGTAATGTAGTTTAGTAAGATTCAAAGTCTGCTCTAGTTTGCTCTGCTTCAAGGTTAGAAGATAATGTTGATTCTGAAAAGTGTACCTTGGCACCAATTGTTTTCTTGTATTAATCTTGTGTTAGATTTGTGTCTGAATGATTGTTTTAGATACGCACCACGTAACAACATCCACACACATCAAGCTACCTCATTTTGTTATGACTAGGTAATATGCAGCTGCTCCAAGTCTGTGGAGCTCTAGATAAGAGATGGAGTCTGCTGGACAGACTTCATCTGTGTAAGGGGTTAGCCCAAAAACTGATAAATGTATTAGGCTCTGTGTTTCCGGGATCTTCTGTCTCCAGCAGCCAGAGTGTGTGTGTTTCTGGAGGAAGGAAAAACCCGGATTGTGTTCTGTAATCTTTATTTATATATATTTTTTAAATAAACCAGCACTAAAATCAAGAAAGGCGGACTCTTTCCTTACTCAGATCTGTCCAAATAAAGAACTGGGGTATAACAACATAAATAGTTGAAACTGCATTATATTAGTTATTCAGTTAATTCATGTTACAATGGACACCAATCACAGAACCCAGCACCATGTTGTGGCCTCTAGACTAATTACTTGAGCAATGGCAAACTAAGAATGAAATGCTGTACAGTTAGTTTGCAGGCAAACATGCAAACTAACCATAATTGCATAGTACATCACTTGCAAAAGAATAAAACAGTATACTGAGTTCACTCAAGCTAAAGACAAGTTTAGTCTAGAGGAAGGAAGTGTGGAGCTCCTCCTCTGCTTAGTGACAGAAATGAATGCTGACACTGATGATGAT